CAGTCTTGCAAGATAGAATTCGAGTCATGGTAGTGGGAGCGGGGAGGAAACCTTTAGGAACTAGAGGAAGGTTGTATTTCTCATCATTGTTGCATCGCACCCTGACTGGCTCATCTCCTCCCCGAGACCCCTCTGCAAGGGGATCTCCAGTTGGCCAGAAACTTTGAAGCTCAGCTCAGTTCTAGGTCAAATGTAGGCTTTTTCCTATTTTGATCAATCAAGCACCTGTTGATTGGGTCACGGTAATGTGCCATCCTATGATTATAAATGAACCCAAAGTCTAAAGCAGGGGAAAGAGTCCCAGCTTCTCCCACCCAAACTGTTACTCGTGGTTATATCTGTATCTCTCTTTCCCAACCTGGGCCTGAGCTCACAACACAGTGAGTGACCTGGGGGTGGGGCAAGCTCACAGACCACACAGAGGTGCCATGCAGCGCAGGACCAGGATGTTTTGAGCTCCTTTAGGTGTCCAGGCAGGGGCCATGGTATGACTTGCTTGTTTCCTGTCTGTGGCTCGGGAAGTCTTGTTTAGCCGATGATGACAGACATGCGCAAAATGGAGTGGAGGGTCTCCGTGTCCTCACCTGCGGCCTTGCAGGCTGCCCGAAGCTGTTGTGGCAGCACTAATGAAGCAATACAGGAAACACCGCTGGATAAAGTTCAGCTGTGAACCCCGCCTCCCGACGGGAAAACAGAGAGCCTTTGAAGCAGAAGACAGCTGGGTTTTGGTTTCAAACCCTTAACACTGCCATCACTAGACATTCATCTGTCAGTGCACAGGGGACAACATGTGGGGAACAGTTGTGTCTGGCCAGACCAGAGAGTGGGGGCTTATTTCCAGGATAACCACAAACCCTCCCATGGTCAGTGGTTCTGCTTAGCATAGCCAAAAAGAATCACTCAGTGAGGCTGAGTGTGGACCAGGCAGCCCTGACCACCGCAGGGAAGGATGCTGAGGCATGAGGCTCTGTGCATAAGATAATTTGGTCATTTGAACCCAGTCCTCCAACTGCAACACAGCTTCAGAAATTATTTGAGACTCCAGCCTTCCCCAAGTTATTTCATCTAGTGTTCCTAAAATGAGCTCAAGCTTTGCTCTCATTTATTTGTGGCTCTGACTTCCTTGTGAGGAGATATTTTCTCCTCTTATTCAACACCCCCATCCCCCTCCTGACTTTCAGTTGTTGCCTTTAACCGTGGGTTATTTTTCATCCAGGGCGGGCAGCGGGGGCAGAGAAATTGTAATCCTAGGTTGAATTTGTTGATTAAGTGTCCGCTAATCTGTGCAAGGGTTTTCTTCTAAGGGGTTTCTTGTTCCTACTATAATGGCTTCTAACTCAGCTGAGGTTTATTTAACAGAATAGGAAGGGGGAAACTTATCTTCTCCCTAATCCCTCTTGAATGTTTACATTGCTCTGCCAAAGTAAATACTGGGTGAAGTGGCAGCAGTCATTTGCTCTGTAATAGTCAATATGCAGCTGCCAGAGCTGATGGAAACATATTAACATATGCGATAATACTGTCATAGAAGTGAAAAGTTAAGTTGCTTATCAGTGTATTTTGATAAGCTACTTAAATTTTACAGTAGCATATGCTGGCTTCAGGCAGACAGCAATGACACTTTATCTGTCCTCTCTATTGCCTCTCACTTCATTTATTACCCTCCGGGTACAGCTGGTAATCTGGACAGGCTGCTGGGGCGGAATGGATTCCCCCCCCACCCCCCTCAGAACTCGAAATCAGGTCGCCCCTATCAGTACTGGATGCTGTGAGCAAGGCAGGCGTGATTAGGACTGCGAGCCCTTGGTTGGGCGACATTCTTCTGTGTGTTTGATGTGGCTTGGGGAAAGTTCCACATTGAGAACAGAGTCATTTCAATTAAGTGACAATTTTCCTAGTGGCAGGGAAACATTTCCACAACAGTTCTATAGTACCAGCATCCCTTTGCTGTTAGTCTTTGCTTCATTTATTTGTTCAGTAAACTCTGAGCACCGGCGGTGTGCCAGGCTTTGTGTTTGGCTCCGGGGAAGAAGAAACAAAGAAAGATGTGACCCTTTCTCTCTGTTTGTGCACAGCCTGTTGGGAAAACAGACATGCCATTGAGCGCTATGAAATGTTACAACAGAAGTATGCATGAGGCCAGGGCTGCCCAGAAGAGGGGGATGTAAGGTCCAAGAGCTCGGGACATGGGGGTGGGGGGCTGGAGAAAGGGTGAGGGCTACCCAAAGGTGGAGTGGATGTCAGCTACACCAGACCAGGAAGGAGCCAAGGCTGTGCGTTGTCAGGCGAGGCTGGGATGAGAGGAGCGTGCATCGGGGGAATGGAGAGAAGACAGCTAGAGAGATGGCGGTTGTCAAGGCCCTGCTGGATGAAGAGCCTGGGGTGCCATTCTAGGTGTGATAGTGATGGGCCCTCACTGCAGGAAGCTAATCCAGCGTGTAATTTAGAGTTTCATTTTAGAAGGATCGTCCTCAGAAAGAGCTAGGAGGCAAAGGGCATTTATATAGGTCTAAATAAATGCATGTACATATGTAAATATAT